AGTCACACTCGGCCGGCCCTATTGAAGCCACCAAGAGGACATTCGCTAGAGAGAGAAAAGGGAGACTGCGGCGTCCACTGCTGTGTGTCTCTGTCTGGACCTCTCTTTCCTGCCAGTGTCCAAGCCCACACAAGGCAGAAATGCAGGAGGAAGGGGCAGCCGCGGTCCTCCTGGTCCAGCCTTGGAGCAGAGCAGACAGGCAGGGAATCAGATCCCAGGGCAGCCAGCCCCTCCTCTACAGTGCCCTTGGCTGGGCTATACCAACAACTCCCGGGAGGCACCGCAGCCTCCTGCCTGCCAATCAGGCCTTTTCCGTGATCCCTAGTGTGCCGGCAGCCTTGGCTGGTTTGTGGGTTTTGGAGTCACCTGTGGCTTTTGTGAAAAGCCCCTCCGCAGCATAGGTCGCCCCAGGCCCTTCAGCCCTGCTCTGCCTTCCGAGCCTGGTGAAGATGCCAAGTTCTCTCCTCTGACACAGCGCAGGGTTGAATGGCTGGGCCTGGAACAAAGTGTACCCTGCAAGCGGGGATTCTTTTCTTTCCCTTCACGCTTGAGTTTTGTTTTTCTTTTTTTTTTCTCTCTCTCTCTTTTCAGGCTCTTGCCCGAATTACCCTTATACAGAATAGTCCCTCTGCAGCCAATCTTTAAACGAGTTATCTTAAAAAATACAAAGAGGTCACACTGAGCCTCTTGCTAACACCCTTGGCACTCGGTAGAGCCTGCTCTTGACTGAGTCCCACCGGGCCTGGCTTGGCTCCCGTCTACCTCCATCACCTGCTGTGTTTAATACCTGTGGAGGGACCAGGCAATCTTTTGAGCAAGGTCTCCTGTTTTAGTTCAACTTGGGTGGGTGTTCACAGCTTAGGCATCGTGCCCAACTTGGTCCTGGGCTCTGGAGACCAGTGACCAAGACAAAAGCCCCTGCCCCATGGAGCCCCCCACCCTTTGCCTCTCCCCCACCACCCCAGTCATAGGCAACACCGGGCAATGTTGGGGCCAGATGGGTGCCGTGTGCCTTTAAGGGGAGGCTAAGGGCAGCCTTTGGGTAGAAGATCCAAAGATGCCAGGGAGCCTGCGTTGCTGGGGACAGAGGGACAGGAAGTGCATGAGCTCTGGGGGGGGTGAAGGGCTGCAGAATAACAAGGAGGCCTGGGTGTGGGAAGGACAGAGCGGCCAGCCGCAAAAGACAGAGTCCAGGGGAGGGCCTACCCCATGGGGTGGATGCTATGAGAGCCACGCATGTGTATGTCCTGTCATCTGATACCCATTCACGGTGACGATCGCTGACGAGCATTGTCCGGGAGGTGAGGTCTCACTGTCTGCGACAGCCAGCACTGGGCAGGGGCAGGTCAGCCAGGGCCCTGGGAGGAATGAGCCCCCTGACTTCCCCAGCCCTGCCCCCTGCGGCCCCCAAATCCTGTGTTGATGCAGCTGTTCTTGATGAGCACTTATAGCCAAGGCAAACACGCTGTCAGCCACCCACTGAGACCTCGTCCCTCTGTCTAAGCCTTACCCGTGGCCCTCCGCGGTCCATCCCCAGCCAGGGGAGCCTCTCGCCATCCGTGGTTTAGGTCAGAGCTGCTGAGCCCGTCCGTCAGAAGAGAGTAGCCACAGCTGCCCACAGCCACAGGGCATCTGCAGAGCCATGCTCAGGGAAGCTGTGGTGGGCTCAGGAATCCTGGGGAGCAAGCAGCCCCATGGTACGGGCTCCCTCTCACCCCTTCTCCAGCCCTCAGTTTCCCTGTCTGGGGTCTGCTGCTCCAGACTTGATGTCACGTGTCCAAGACAGGCAGCAAGAAGTACTCCCAACTTAGGGCAGGACAGGCCAAGACCATGTACTTCCTAGACCTCTGGGAAAACAAATTGCTCCAGTCACTTAGTGTGAAAGACCGAGGTGCAGGCCGTGGTGCCCGGCTCTTTCCTCCTGGACCCGCACGGGGGTGGGAGTGGGGGGAATGGCCCATGCTGGTTCTGAGCACAGCCCTCGGTCAGTGTAGCCATGCTCCGGAAGTGCGCATGACCCAGCAGGTCCCCCAGGTCTCCCATTGTACTGCCTTCGCCGCTGATGGCTCCCCCTTTGTGCCCCCATATTCCATGCGGATGGGGTTCTCAGAGGAGAGCCTGGCACACCAAATATACCCTGTTTGCTACTTCCACTCAAGCTGAGTTGCTTCTAGACAGATTAATGGGGGGGGGGCGTCCAGAGTGCCAACAAAGCCCCATTCCAGGCAGGACTGGCAGAAGGCTGTAGCTACCAACCCGCTCCAGGTGCTACTGGCCCCTCAGGGGTTCAGCTTCTTTCTAAATTTGGGCTTGCTTCTAAGGCCATCTGTACCTTCCCACCTGTTCCTATAAACACATACATGCTGCCAGTTGCCAGGGCAGCTGTGCCAGTCCCTCTCTCCTGGTGACCCTGGTGCCTGCCGAAGTACCCTTGACTCATGACTGTGCACCTCTGTGGAGGCGCTGTGTGCCCAGGGGCTGCTGCCGGAGGGAAGGGCAGGGCCGGCCAGGCTCATCGACGCCCACCTGAGGCCCAGCCGAGGAGCTGCCCGCTGCTGCTGGACATGCCCCAGTGAAGAAGACAACTGTCGGGAGCCTTTTTGTTATTTTGTTGTGTTTTGTAGGCCTGGGGATGGAACCCAGGGCTTGGCACCTTCTAGACAAGCACTCTATTTGTACTAAATCAGACCACTAGCACTGAATATGCGATTTGTGTGTGTATGTGTGCATGCTGTCCCTAAGCTTTTAAACTCAAGATGAGTGCTTTAGCACTTGAGCCACAGTTCTAGTTCTGTTTTTTTTTTTTTGGCATCTGACTCATTTGTTTTATTCATGTTTTTATTAAGAATTATTTCCAAGCCGGGTGTCAGTGGCTCATGCCTGTAATCCTGGCTACTCAGGAGGCTGAGATCTGAGGATCATGGTTCAAAGCCAGCCTGGGCAGGAAAGTCCATGAGACTCTTATCTCCAATGAACCACCAGAAAACTGGAAGTGGTGCTGTGGCTCAAGTGGTAGAGTGCTCACCTTGAGCTGAAGAGCTCAGGGACAGCGCTCAGGCCCAGAGTTCAAGCCCCATGACTGACAGAAAAAAAAATTATTTCCAAGATCCAGATGCTAGTGGCTTGTGCCTGTCATCCTAGCTACTCAGGAGGCTGAGATCGGAAGATTGCAGCCCAGAGCCAGCCCAGGCAAGAAAGTCCGTGAGTCTCCTATCTCCAATTAAGCAGCAAAGACCTAGAAGTGGAGCTGTGGCTCAAAGTGATAGAGCACCAGCCTTGAGCAAAAGAGCATTAGAACTAGTGCCCAGGCCCTGAGTTCAAGTCCCATGATTGGCAAAAGAAGATCCCCGGGGTTTCCTCTCCTAGGACAAGCCCATGGCTGGACACACAACCGAGGCATGAGCACAGTCCTCTGAGCCACGGCCATGTGGTCTGCCATGAAGTGAGAGAGAAGGGGGGTGGGGAGAGTGGGCGGGGAGGGCCAGGTGTCTTGGAAAGGCTGTGAAGAAGTTGTGGCCAGTTGGCCGAGACCCCCCATGTGAGAGGAGGGGCCAGGAGGCCCCACAGGGGGTCTCAGGGCAGCCGCTCCCGGATATTCCTGTCTAGCTCGGGGCGTGGAGGTGGCACTGGGTGACCCCATCAGTGCCAGCGCACCCCCACCCACCCATCGTCTGCTCTCCGCGAGCGTGCCGCATGGGGGGCTGGCTCCTGCCTTGCTGTGTGAAGGTCAGGGAGGACGCACGCCAGCCAGCTGCCCGTCTGTGCTTGTGCTCCGGAGCCGTGGTTGGCTCCCGTTTCCTGCTCCACGTGAGCAGGTGGTGGAGCGACCTTCTCCTGCCCATGCCCAGGGCTTAGTTTCTGAGATTGGAGTCGGGAGCCTGTTGTGTTGACATTGGGCAGTGGAGGGTCAGAGAGATGGCATTCCAGTGTGTCTAGACTTCTCACCTCCTCCGGGGCTGAGGGTGCCGGGGAGTTCAAACCCCAATATGGAACGAAAGGAGAGGAGAAGATACAACACCCAGGCCCTTAGTTCCAGTGTTGGCAGGTGTACACACACACACACACAACTGTATGCTTTGAATCCGTGCACTTTGTTGTACCGGTACGATTGTTTCTACATCTGGAAAGGTCTTTGAGAGGTCTTTGTTATCCACCTGTTCTACCAGCCCTGCCAGTCCCCTGGCCTCTCCTACGTGCTAGTGAGCTTGACATGTTGGCTTCGTGCTGCTGTGCAAATATCAGTGTGCACACTCCATTCTCCACCTCGTACAGGGGAGCAGATTTCCATCCAGATTTCCTTTCTCACAGGAAGTCCACAAGCCGAGTGTCCGCTCATAGTGTGTCTGTTGACCACAGGTGACAGGAGGGTCCAGATTGCTGAGATAACCCAGCTCAACCACCCCAGCAGGATCTTCCCCAGCTCACGCTGGGCAAGTGAAGGGTTTTATCTCTTGGTGATTGTTCTGTTCTCTGCTGACTTCCTTCCTGGGCAGCCAGAGCAGGGAAAGAACCCCCCTCCTTCCCGTCTGGTCCAGGAGAAGTTCCAAGTCCAGCCCTCACTGGCTGGTCAAGGGTCAGCACCCATGCCTGAACCAATCACTGCTTTCTGTGTCCTGGCCTGGGTCACTTGCTTTGGAGCCTGGTGTGGTTCATCCACAGCCACACCATGACCGAGAGCAGGAGAGGGCTTTCTGCCAAGGTAAACCAGGGCAGGGACCTGGAAGAGGAGGCCAGGGTCAAGTAGAAGAAAGTAGAAGATGACCCAGGACCAGGGGGCAAATCCAGTTCTGTTCAGTTGGCTAAGCAGAATGCTAACAGGTCGTACTGTATGAGAAGGATCTGTGCGTGTGTGTGTGTGTGTGTGTGTGTGTGTGTGTGTGCGTGTGCGTGCGTGTGCACGCGCGTGCATGCGTGCGTGGGTGTTCTTTCCCACCATCATGTGCTGTTGTGCGTCTTGAGCCTGGGTTGCATGTAAGTGACTCCTTTCTCTTCTTCTGCAGATGGGGGCAGCCATGCCATCCATGACTCCCACGCCCCCACTCTGGTATCTGGGGTGGACACATCCCCCTCCAGCCCCACTGGGCACAACTGGGAGATGAATTATCAAGAGGCAGCCATCTACCTCCAGGTGAGCATCTCCAGCCACTGTCGGTGCCTACCAGGCTCCATGTGGTGTGCAGAAATCCCATTGTGACTTCCACCCCTGCCCCTGCTTCTACTCGGTCTTCTCTGCTGGAAAAAAGACAGCCAGTTGGATGTTCATGGGGTGGGGAGCAGTGCATGCACAGGCTCGTCCTCAAAGTCTCATTTGTGTTGTGGCTCAAGTGGCAGAGCACCACCCCTGAGCAAAAAAGCTAAGGGATAGCACCTACACCCCGAGTTCAAGTCTCAGTACTGGCATGCACACACATTCAAAATGCAGTTTCTGGTGTCCACTGAGTGTTGGGGTGAGAACATTCTTTTTTTTTGGGGGGGTCCGGTCATGGGGCCTGAACTCTGGGCCTGGGCGCTGTCCCTCAGCTCTTCAACTGTCGACTAGCACTCTTTACCACTTGAGCCTCAGCCCCACTTCCAGCTTTTTCTGCTTAAGTGGTGCTGAAGAATCGAACCCAGGGCCTCATGCATGCAAGGCAAGCACTCTACCACTGAGCCACCTTCCCAGCCCCCCTATTTTTTTTTTTGTCAGTCATGGTGCCTGAACTCTGGGCCTGGACACCGTCCCTCAGCTCTTCAGCTCAAGACTAGTGCTCTACCACTTGAGCCACAGCGCCACTTCCAGCTTTTTCTGCTTATGTGGTGCTGAGGAATCGAAC